CTCTTCTTCTTTATCGACCTTTATTTTATTTCTGTAATCGCCAATTGGCCACCTGCTAAGTAACGGATTGGCTAGATAACAACCGAGTCTAAGTAGCCTATGATATCACGACCCTTGGAATACGACCTCGATCACCATTATACTACTTCGCCGATCTAGAGTGCTTTTGTCCTGGGTTGGGATAGCTAGAATTGTCGACGATCTAGTTTATAAATTAAAAGCTTGATGTGCGACACACATCACAAATCAACCAGACTCATTCATAAAGGATGAAGTTGTAGCATTATTAATCTAAAAAAAGAAGTTGTTGCATCATTAGTATCCTTCCTGTAATGATTGAGGACGAGTGGCCAAAATATCTACACCCGTGGATATCTACTCAAATTCGATCTAATCAAATAGGATAAAATTTGAATCAAAAGATTTTTAATAGATGTGAATAAAACCATAATATTGCGGAAAATGGGTGGACAAGATTTTCTCACTATCTTTCTTGAACACTCCCGATTATATGTATGTGTTTTATTTGGAGTCTTTTTTTTTAATGAATCGATTTGCTTTCATTTCATCAAAAAGAGTTGATGGCAACATCCTTGCCAGCTAGGAGTGAAACTTGGGAAAAGTTTAACAAACCAAACAAAGCTACCAATGAAAACCAATAGCAAAGTAAAGTCTCAGATAAGAAACCAAAATCACAAGGCTACCAATGAAATCAAAAGCGGAGCAAAATCTCTAGTAAGAGAGCAGAATCTCTAAGAACCAGCAGACCAAAACTGTTCTAGATCTAGGGGATCCTGCACCAGCACCATAACCTCACTCTTTACCTGAGAAACCAGAGCTTCAGTAGACTTGCCATTATCACCAAAGGATCTTCGACAATGTTGCCTCCCGGTATGACTCAACAGAGACTGACAAATCAATCGTCCTGACATAGCGCAAGGCTTTTTTGCACCAAACTGCCTAGTAGTCCAGTCAAGATTCTCCTACCAAGTTTGCTGTTGGAAAGAGCTAAAATTAACAAACAATTGCTGATGGACAGAGAAATAATAAGAACAGACATAGAATAGGTGATCTCTAGTCTCATCAGGCTGATCACATAAAAGACAGTGATCCGATCCAGCAAACCCCCATTTCTTCATCTTATCTTTTGTTTGTATCTTATTATGTATGATAAGCCATACAAGAAATATATTTTGAGGGATCGAAACCCCTTTCAGAGAAGCTTATACCAACTGACTGTGTTTTGCTTTGGCCTAAAAACTTCCGAGACCTTCTTGATAGAGTACCTCGGCATAGCAATATTGTTCCAAGGAAGCAAGCCATTATTCAAGCTAAACAGGTTAGGGATCTTACCTCGAAGTCGTAATAACTTCTTCCAATTCCAAGATCCATTCACATTAACAACCCAAAAGTCCCTTCCTTTTAGCTTTTATGCCTGAACCCAAGCTACCCACAGAGAACCATGTTGCAACATCATCGCCCAAATCTGCCTGAACACACAGACATAGTTTCAGGTGGAGAGATCCCTCAAGCCAAGACCGCCTTCCTTTTTGGGGAAGGACAGATACTTCCATGCCATTTTAGCTTTGAGCTTGAGCCCAGTTCCAACTGACAAGAGGAAACTACTGCAAATTTTTTCAACCTCTCTTATAACCGTTTTGGGAAGTATGAAGACACTCATCCAATACTGCGTCATACTATACAGAACATAACCCACTAGCTCCACCCTGCCAGAATAGTTTAAAGATTTGGCCTTCCACCCCTACACCTTGGCCGTAATTCTGTCAATGAGTGGGCTACAACCATTAACAGTGAGTTTCCCAGCCACTAAAGGCACTACCAAATATCGCACAGGGAACCCACCCAACTGATAACCATATCTGCTAGCCCTATCCACCATTTCCTCCTTCTCGAACCCTCCAATGAAAACTTCACATTGACTAGGGTTTGACTGGAGACTAGATAGCTTGAGAAAGACACTCAAAACCCTCTGTACACTCTGAATGCCATAGTCTGATCCATCAGAGAAGACCAAAAGGTCGTCAGCAAAACATAAGTGAGTCAGGCCTATTTTTTTGCACATTGGATGATAAGAAAATCTCCCCTTCTTAGCTTCAAGATCCAGTAGGCAGGAGAAAACCTCCATTGCTACAACAAACAAGTATGGAGAGAGCGGATCCCCCTGTCTCAAACCTTGCTTGGCAGGGAAGTAACCAACTAGACCCCATTAAAAGCAATACTCAACATAGGGCTAGTTACACACATTTGGAGTCTTTAATTTTCTTATTATATGATGTTATATATATTTTGAAATCCTAAATCCCAACTAGTAAACTCTATACAACTCTAAACCAAAAAAAGTGAATGCACGGGAGAAGACAAAACCATGTATATATAAGACTAGCATATGATTGTCGTACAGTATACGCCTGTGTTCACACTTGTTATATGTATTTTGACATATTTCAATGAATCACAACCGTCGCTTATTGTTATTTTAGATTAAATGAATTTTTTGGTTCGGGTTAGAGAATTAGGGAATGTGGTTCACACATTAGAGGTTAGGGTATAGTATCATGCACAAAACTTCGTTTAATTCGTGATCTAAATAGTAAAACTCAAATATTAGTGGTTAACTAATAACCAATAATTTCTTAGTGGTTCAATTTCGGTTAGATGTATTTTTTCTAGTGGTTAATCGATAGTTTTTGGCTTTGCCTAAGGGAAAAGTCTCAAAATTCAAAACAAATATGGAAAGTCGCAATTCCAAACATCCCGATTTACAACTATTGCAAACATCCATCCATCCGATGTTTCAAAATGTTTAAGAGTCTTTGTTTGTTTGATGATTGTGAATGATGATTATTTTGTAGTGCTTATGTTTGATGTCTTGCTAGTTGGAACTCGCTAATTAGATGGATACGTTTGATTACTTGTAATTTTATGGATTGGTATTAGAATTTGGATTATGAATTCATGTTAGATGTTGTGGTGTATTGATGTTATTTATTATAATTATTGTTTTATGTTAATAATGTCGAACTGTAGTTAAATTATTTTGAATTATTTGTATGATTATATTTTATAATTAAAAAGGATACTATAAAAAAATTCGAAATAAACAAAAGGAAGATGCCACATGTGGAGGTTGTTATTGGTTAGTGGCAGCTAGGAAGGACAATGAGGCAGATCAGGGAGAACATCTCGATACCCATACTCTCTCCGTGGCAGTTTTTGTCCAAGTCGGGTAATTTAGCATTGGGCACAGGTCAACCCGTACCGTATGAATATGTAATTTAATAGTAAAATCCTAAATAATTTAAGTAAAATGATTTTTAATTTAAGCAACACAGATTCAAGAATGAGACGATTCATGTCGATAAGAGTATCCATGCTCAGCCCGACCCCGTCTACAAAACAGGTATTACCCGCACTAAAGCAGATGAAATAAATAAGGTAAAAGTGGCATCTGTAATTAGGCCTGCAAATGAGCCGAGCTGAGCCGAGTTTTACCCCAGCTTGAGCTTGACTCGTTAACAAATGAGCTGAGCTCGAGCCCGAGCCATTTATTAACGAGCCGAGTCGAGTCGAGTTCGAGCTAGACTTGTTTACTAAATTCTTAGATCGTATTTAATACATTCATTTTGTATGTCGAGTATGGTACATGTGATTGATGTAGCGATAAAAAATAATCAAATGTTCAACATTAATTAATCTTATATTATAATTTTTAGGTGTCATATTGTTTAGTTAATAAATTTTAACTAGTTCAAATCATGTTATTTCATAGTATCGAAACAATTTTGGACATAATTTCTTTATAGAATTAAAAATAAGGCATATTTTCTTACATGTTCAACATGTTAAACTTCACATGATGTGAGATATATAATTTAACAATCCTATGAATTATGAAAGTCCAAATTAGATCGATTAGTCCATAAGTCAGTGATCAAGTTGGCCCTCAAACCACAATGTTGAGACATCTCATGAGCTCTAAATGAGCCAACTCACGAGTTGAGCTCAACAAGCCACCGAGTCGAGCTAGCTCGCAAGCTTCACGAGCTGAACATAGCTAGGCTCAAGCTTGGCTCGTCAGTAAACGAATCGAGTTTCGAACGAGTTTTTCCCGATTCGAGCCTCGAGTTGCTCGCGAGTAGCTTGGCTCATTTGCAGCACTATCTGTAATTGTTAGTTTATTCATTTATCAGAGTTTCTTCAGGGGCTTTAGTTCAACTTAACTGGTCTTGCATAACATATTTAATTAGTTTGTCTCAATGGGGAGAGAATTGATTTCTAATTTTCTATAGTACATAATTGAAGATGTTTTTAGACTAAGAGACTTCATATATGTTGCAAGGAAACGATCAGAAGAAATTAACAGTCTGCAAATTCAAACATCAATGAGGAATATGTATGTTGAAATTACGTGATTTGCTTTTCTTCTCCCTAAATTGGACTGTTGTACGTACATTTACCTAAGTATCACGGATTTCATTTGCGATACGATTTCGCAAATGCATGACATCAGCTAACCAACTCGAACCGACATACATACATCAGCAGTATATCACACGCGTATAAACAACATTTTGTGAAATCCAGACCTGGCATCATGGATATTTCCATCACCTTCAGATCATAAATAAAGTTGGCATAAACAAGACGAGACAAAGAGGCATATCTCCACACTTGTAACTCGAAACCATAAACGAGTTTTTCCCGCTCCATGCTGAAATTTCAGAGATGGACAACAGAAGAAAAGATCTACAGTTGAGACTTATAGTACTGATACAATGCTGCAGGCTGCAGTTTGTTAAGAATTACATGTTACAACTTACATGCCGCCACTCCTGAGTCACAAAATTATCTCCAAAGATCCTCTTCGACACCAGCAACCACTCAAAAGCTGGACTCCACTTATTATGGTTTGCAGATTTGACAGTACGCTTTAAGGCACAACAACTGGCTCAAAGAGACGGTTGCATATGATCAAATGATCATTGGCCACCAAGAAACAGCGCTCTACATTTCTCCATTGTATCATCAGGGCTGGTTACTGCATCAAACAAAACCCCCATAATTCAGATCCTACTAGACCAAGGTACAAAAGGAAAGTCAATATAAGTATCGTGGACCACTATGATGACATGACGATCCAGTCAAAGGTGCTTGAGTAACAACTTTTCCCCGATTACATGTACAAGTTAGAGGTGTTCTGGGGAAACCAGAACCTTTAAAGTGTATAGTCTCTATGCGGAAATGGGTACTAATACCTATCTTATATGCTTCAACACACTTCTGGGCTGTTTTAATATGGGGAATATACTATCAAATCAGTTGCTACTTCCACTTGAGAGCCAAAATCAAAAGGATAAAAGAATAAAATAGATTTGCTCACCAGTGTGTCCCACGGTCCGTTCTGATTCATATATTTCATGGTCATTTCCTCCCTGCTCATATAAGAATGGTTCAGTGAGAACTAAGATGGGCTGTAAGTTGCTAGAAACTTACCAGGAATTAATTGCCTAAGATTGTAAACATGAATGCTGAGTGACAGCAATGGCAACATCAAATTATCATCTCATATCAGAAGTAGTTCTAAAGTCTAACAACAGGAAGCAAGTAGCAGTGTTATCTTTCAGGACTTGGCAAACATATAACCATTCTAGAAGTCGCAGTCATGCTTAGCTGGTTGACTGCTTTCAACACCAACTGATTGAGCTACTCAAACCAGAAGTACTTATAACAAGAAGTTATACTAACACTAAACAAAACAATCGAGAAGCAGCTATAAGATAGTCAAAAGCAGGGCTATGAGTAGGGTGATTTATTTCAACTGGAAACTCTAAACACCAAAACAGGAAAGTAATTTAAGTCCCTACCTTGTAAGTTTTGTCACCGAAGAAGTGAATTTCAGGAAACTCATCAAGATATCTTAAGCAGTATGTCTTATCCCAGCCTTGGGGGAAAACCTATTAGAAACAATCCAACCACTGTAAGCAGGGTTGTAAAATATTTAGTATACCAAAGTGTAACAAGCACGATAACTTGCACCTACATCAAAGCTTATTTGCCCGCCTATCGAAAATGTCAAGTTAAGGTGGCCAAATTTCTCACGCAGCACGGACACCATCTTTGGGCGAATGTTCAGAACCTGAAATCATAAGCACAATTAAGATTTATAGTCATATACATCAACCAGCCAAAAAATTCAAATTGCAGAAGCAATAAATCATGATACAGGCTTTGCGTCTTCCAACATCTTTCTATACCTTGTCATATTTTTCAAATTCATCTCTTTCCTCTTGGCTGCAGTTTCTCCCAATCGGAGATACATTCAGCATACCGCTTCTGAATTCTATAAAAGTTCCCCTGCACAGATCATTTGAAGGTTAGATGGCTTTCAAGTAATGATGAATCGAGATGGATGCCAATTAACTTTTGCGATCTGAATTGGACTTGCCGTTTTATGGGGATATCCAAGTCGGCAATGTAATGCAATGTGAAATTTATGAATTCCTGAAATAAAAAGCACTCAGTCTCTTTGATTGGCATACTTGAAGATAACATACATGAAAGGCTGCTGGAGTGATTATGATCCACCACACCCCGTTATTGATCACGCAAAAATTTCAGATACCTATCAAGTAATCTAGTCAACCTCAGGGTAAGTAACCACTGTTAGAAAAAGAACGATTAACATATTGCTGAACTGATTATGATTGTGTTCTTCTCAACCTTTATGCACAACTATACAAAATTAATAAAGAACCGGCATACATTCTGGTGAAAGATGTTACCTTGAGTTGTTCATCTCCGAGAAATGACTTCAAGCTCTGAACATCAAATTACATAGCATGTCAATTTAGGGATAGACAACGTCCCAAATAATTATTGCATAGGAACTTTATTGTAATATGACTGTTGGACAAACACTAAGAATGTCAAGACTCTGATCTGCACCTGGGTGCCAATGAGATTTCCAGCCTTATGAGCTACAAGGCCATTCTCGGAAAACACGTAATCATAATCGGTGATGACTGCAACAAAAATCACAGAGTTTAGCTACTAGTCTATCTCTTGCACTCTCCAACGGAAGTAAATTAAATAGTAACTACCTGTCTTTCCGAGCTGCTCTGATATCTTAACGAGATCGGATCCACCAACCACTCCAACAGTAACTACCTGAAATTCAACGTGAAGACCATAAGGAAGTTCCCAAACAACAAACTTATGAAAAGAAGTATGTTCCAGGGTGGTTTCAAGAGAATTTGGAAGATCTGGCAAGCGAAAAAGGGAACTGATTGTATGAACAAGACTATACCTTTCGGAGATCTTGCATAAACTTTACCATCTTAGGAGTGACCTCCTGTAAATAGGATTGAAGATAACAAGTTATTAGTTTTAGCTCCTTAAGGCAGACACATCAAATAAGATGCAAGTCCGAGGAGATGGAAATTTGTACAATGAGGCAACTAACTACAACCTAAAAAATTCTAAGTCTATCATGGGAAGAGAACTGGAGCTGACCTTTCTTGGAGCAGTTAGAGTCCCATCAACATCGAACAGAGCAATCAAGCCAGGCTTCCTTGCAGCCATGCCTTCCTCCCTAGCTATCGTAAATTTCTCACATGAGTTGACAAAGATGAGAAAAAAAGGGAATGCGCAGAAGTCAGTGGGCAGCCAGATAAACAAACTTGCTATCGCTATGCACGTTACTAGTACGACATTATGGCGGTGAAACTGACGCAAAGAGTCTGATCCAAAATTCAATCAGTGGAGTTCAAATTTGTCTAGAACTTCATATTCAGGCTTGCCCAACCAACAAAGGATCGAAATTGACAATAGCAATGCGTCACAGGCAATCATGGAAGCATAAAAAGGAACTCATTCCGTGAAAGAAAGCCGAGACTATCTCCCATCCAGATTTCAAGCCCAGAAGAAACAAGAGAGAAAAGAATGAAACAGGTAGAGTTGAGGAGTACCTGGATTGGATTGGATTGGATTGGATTGGATTGGGAGTGAAGATGGAGGTAAGGAATTAGGGATGAGGAGAAGTTATCTGAATTTCGGAATTTGTAGAACAGAGATCTCAAATGGCGGAACCCATTGGGTGGGTGTTCAGTTCAGTCGACTCGAAAGTTGAGAGATTTTTTAGTGCTATATCTGCTGAATTGGGCGAAATTCTTGGAAAAGTAAATGTCTTGATTTTTTTGCTAAATAACAAGTGTAGTAACGGGGTTTATTAAAATATGTCAAGTTTAGTTACTAAAAAAAATAATATTAATTGTGGTCACTCGAATTAGTAAAACGGTGCATGTTTAGTCACTTTCCATTAACTTTACCCAATGTGGTAGTCAACCCTAACATTTGACCGTTAAATATCTGACGTGACAATAACAATTAATAAAAAACAAATTAATTATTTTAAAATTTTCACATCATTAAATTAATTAACAAAATAAATCAAACAATAAATTCCCTTCCCATCCGACGAGAAATTCTTCAGCAAAGAATGGCGACGAAGAGGAAGAAGCGAGTCCTCCACATCAACCGTCACCTCCGTCGCTGTCGACTTCCTCGCGGAAAACCTGTCAAGGAGGGCGTAGCTGTTGATGGGAGGTTGGTCAGGATCGGATTGAGGTTTGGAGAGAGGGAAAGAATGGCGGGTCTAAGAGTAGGGGAGAATCGAGGTGGGAGAGCGTTTTTCGTGCCTACCTCTTCGCAGTAAGTGGCGGCGGAACCACTGGAGCTCAACGTCGAGGGTGGAATTGGCTAATGAGTTCTAAGTCCTAATACCTTTTTGGCAAGATCGGATTTGCGAAGTCGGCAAACGCGGGTATCACCCTCCTGCTGAAACCCAAGTGGCACTTTCATGTACATCTTTTCTTGCAAATCACCATGGAGAAAAAGCGTTGTTAACATCAAGTTGATGCAATGCCCATCCTCACTGAACCGCAAGAGCAATGAGAATGCAAACCGTAGCCAGCTTATCGATAGGGGCGAACCTATCATGAAACTGCACTCCTTCTAACTGAGTAAAAACCTTAGCCACGAGTCTGGCCTTGTAGCGTTCAACCGTCCCATCTGGGTGGTACTTAATCTTTTACATCCATTTGGAGTCGATAGCTCGCTTACCCGGAGGTAAATACTCCAAGGTCCAAGTTCCATTTGCCTCCAATGCCAAGACTTTCTTCTGCATGGCGTCACGCCAATACTCATGCAGTACGCCCTCACGGAAATGACGAGGCTCATGAAGCTTGGTAATGGCGGCAAGGTACGCCTTGTGTTCAGGCAAGAAACAGTCATAGCTTACATGATTTGCTATGGGGTACTCCACTATATGGGCAGAATGTTGACCTAGGAGCTCAACCTCATAGATATCGAGCTTCGGAGGGGGTTGGCGATCACGAAGACTACGACGCGACACAAAAGGTGAAGGGTCAATCACGCCCTCATCGGCGGGAGCTGCGTATCAGTGTGAGGCGGAGAAGAGGGCTTGACATGCACGTGTGGCTGCTGTGGGGAAGGCGAGTCAGCAGCAGCGAGACCTTCTGGTGAGGCCGTCAACTGCAGCTCATCATCAACCTCCAAATCCTCATCATGCCCCACACGATCCACGACCAGAGGGTCTAGAGAGCACTCCCCCTCGAAAACAGTAGTGATGGGAGACTGTGGTGTGTGAGCAACAGAGGCAGGCGTGCAAAAAGGAAACTCACTCTCCACGAAGTGAACATCACGAGACAAATAGATGAGCCGTGAAGTCAGATCATAAATACACCGCCGCCCACGCTCGGCAAACTTATCAATGTTGTGCTGAGTGTCCTTGGCATAAACGAGACAACCGAATGTCCGGAGATGACTATATGAGGGTGTCCAACCAAGAAGCACTTCGAACGAGGTCTTGTTGCCCAAAATTGAGGTAGGTAAACAGTTAATTAAATAGGTCGCTTTCAAGACACACTCATCCCAAAAGCGAACTGGAAATCCTTATTGAAATCGCAAAGCTCGTGCTGTCTCCAATAAATGATGGGGTTTGCGTTTAGCGACACCATTCTGCTGTGGAGTATGCACACAAGATGTCTGGAGAAGGATGCTTGATTCGGCATAATAGTCTCGGAGTGATAGGGTTTGAAATTCCAACCCATTGTCTGACTGAATCCCACGAACCTGCGTCTAGAACTGAGTACAAACCAGCTCACAAAACATCCGAATATGTTTCTCAGCATCAGACTTATATTTAAGAAGATAAACCCAAATGGTGCGACTATAATCATCTACCACTGTCAAGAAATAATGGGAACCATCCATAGATGGGGTTTTGTAGCCACCCCAAAGATCCATATGAATGAGATCAAAACAACCAGTCGTCTTAATAGAACTCGACGGAAAAGGAGTACGAGTTTGCTTAGCGCGTAAACAAGAATCACAATGCAACTTATTCCAACTGTGTTCCTGACAACTAAGAAAATGCTTCAGAACCGGCATTTTTCCAAAGTCGGATGTCGCAAGCCTCTTGTCACAGTCTCTCATCTCGCGGCAAGTAAAATAATCCCTCACGGAGGCGGCCCAATCCAGTCACGGTCTTGGAGCGTAAGTCCTGAATTACGCAAAAATCACCCAAGAAAAGTAAGGCAACATTGTTGTCTTTGATCAATCGACTCACAGATAATAAGTTGCACTTGAACTGGGGAACATGAAGCACACGATGCAAAGTAAGTCCTGAATTCAAGACCACCGAACCAACTCCCTCAACTGGAATACACTTCCCATTAGGTGTACGAACTGGTGCATGACTATGTGAACTATGAACCTTATCAAACCAACTGATATCACTGACTATGTATTCATTACAACCATAGTAAATAAGCCATTCACTGAGATCGATAGAGTTACCAGTCATGTGTGCAGTCGAATTAGGTGTAGATGGTGTAGGTGCCGAGAAAAACTGTTTAAGCTGTGCAAACTGTGACGACGTAAGCCCTTGAATGGGACTGTCTTCCGTCTCTACATGTTCAACTCGAGAAGAAGGTTCACCCTTTCGCTTATTTCCGCCATTGGGCCTATTCTTCCCAAAATCAGGTGGATAGCCAATAAGCCGAAAGCACTATTCCTTAAGATGCCCGAGCTTATTGCAATTAGTGCAACACACGTGCTCCTCGGAGTCACGCTCTTTCTCATTGCGTACCTGGAATGCAGCGGCCTTGATTGTAGTACGATGACCAGCAGTGATAAGTCACTATTGTTCCTCCTCCGCGACTTGCTGGTACGCTTCTGCCAATGTGGGAGTGGGTCGAACGCTCATAATTTTGCTTCGGACTACAGAGAAGACGTCATCCAAACCAAGGAGGAAGTCGTTGAGTCTTTCTGCCTCTTGCTGTTCGCGTAGCTGCTTTGCCACATCGCAAGTGCAATTCCCACATTTGCAGCAAGGGTTAATGCTAACCGATTGCAACTCATCCCAGAGAGTCCTGAGTTTAGTATAGAAGCCCGAGACTGAGGATTTTTCCTGTCGTAGCGATACAATCTAGCGTCGGAGCTCATAAGCTCTCATCACCGAGCTGGCTCCAAAGCGCTGCTTGAGGTCTGTCCATATTTCGTGCGCCGTTTTGGCCGCACACAAACTATTTCGAACCTCCTTTGTCATAGCCGTCTTCAGCCACCCTTTCACCATCGCATCGCATTGATCCCAAGCGTCTTGCTTGGCCCTAGTGTCCGCGGAAGATCGTGGCAGGGATCCGTCAACGAAGTTCATCTTTTTCTTCGCAATAAGTGTCTCGGATAGTAGATCACTGCTGAACATTTGACCGGGGTTTTCCGAGGGATGCAAATAAAACGGCGGGTGGTGTGGAATTGTATCAGATTCAACAACAACTCCTTTACCGCGGAAATCTCCTCGTCCTTAGTAATGATCGCAAGATTGGATCACTACCTTGATACCATGAAAAGAAGTAAAACGCAAAAATAAGATGACACAGGATTTACGTGGTATCCCTGTTCAATGGAACATGACTAATCCACGGAGAGCAAGCTCTCAGATAGGGTTTCACTAAGCTCCAGCAAAGAGGGAAGTGTCGTAAAAGTTACAGTGGCGATCGGCAAATGACAAGATATAATTACCCTTTGACAAGCAACTAGGGTAAACGAAGCCCACAAGGGAAAATAACAAACTTGTATTATAATTAATCAAACATGATTAATGATTACATCTCAATATTTTAGGTAAATAATAGAGTGTTGTGTATGGACGCACATGAGTTGGGACAATAATATTTCTGAGGAAAGTGCAATTGGGGCAAAGCAAGCAATGACATGGCTTAAAGATGGAGGTCGGGTCCCGTGCTTAATGCTTTGGTCACACCGCCACCGGAGAGGGCAGGTCGGATGGGGAAGAGCTTTTTTGTTTATTTATTTTTTGTTTATTAATTTAATAGTGTGGAAATATTAAAAGAATTAAATTTATTTTTTATTAATTTTTAATTGCCACGTCAGATATTTAACGGTCAACTGTTAAGTTTGATTGACATATTAGGTAAAGTTAGCGGAGAGTGACTAAACGTATACCGTTTTACTGATTCGAGTGACCAAAATTGATATTAATTTTTTTTAGTGACTAAACATGACACATTTTAGTAAACCCAGTGACCAAACTTGACAGTTACCTAATTTTTTTAACCACTTATTTGTATTAGATAGGAGAATTGTAACTCTTTAGGCAAATCCAAAACAAAATACGAACGAGATTCATGGTTGATAAGTAACAAACTGATTTTGATTGACAAGACGTGTTTTGGGGTGAAAAATGAAGAGTTCTTATGAGTACTTTAAAGTTCGTGCTTGTTGTGGAGCACTGCAAAGATGAGTGACCTTACTGAAATATACAACACAATATCATTAATTTTTGGGTAAATACAATATATTAGCCACAAGTATTAAGTAGCGGGGAATAATAGCCACAACTATCGATATACAAATTATTAGCCAAACACTAACTCTCCATTAACAATTCCGTTAGATGATGATGACTAAACTTTAGGATGGTGATCTGGCTCCCGCGTCGCAGTCACTATATAATATTTAAATTTTTAATTTTAAATAATAAATCATTAAATAATTAGGAAAATGGAAGGTAAAAATAAAAATAAAATCTAAAAATGCCGAATCTTCTTCTTCCTCCATCTACCATCTCTTCTTCTTCCTCCGCCAATTGATTCCAAGTTCCAAGATAAAGCCCCCAGCCCAAATCCCTCGAGCTAAGCAAATATGAAAGCAATCGAAAATCAAGATCGAGAAGCGGCAACGAGGACCCGTTGATCTTGATTGGGCATCCGACTATCCGAGGACTTTGAGAATGCTTAAGAGATCGTCTTCAAGCTTCTTGACCGGGCAATCGAGATTCGTGAGAAGGAACGTTAGGGTTTCCTTGATATGTTTACTAGAGGGGGTTTGGTTGGTCGGAAGCGAGGGCGAGGATTTGGAGGAGAGATAGTGGTTGATAGCGTGGAGGGTCTCCACCTGGTGGGATCGGTCTTTGTAGGTATCGACCAGAGAGACGGTCGACGGCCTATGCCGACGGACGACGGTCTACGCGAGGTGTACGAGTCTGGAAGAAGGTCGGGAGAAGAGATGAGATCTCGGAGAGCCGGACAGATCGTGGATCCTCGCCGTGGTAATGGCCGGCCTGGTCTTCTTCTGGGTCCTGATCAGAAGCTTCATCTGCTCCCTCGCAAGCAAGAAGTTTCGGGCCGCAGCTGAGTACGCCTCCACGCCGGCCCAACTCCAATTTCCTCATGTTCGGCCTGAAATTTGATTCCTTGATGTGAAGCGCCCTAAACCCTAAGGGTAAGATGATCTTTCCCGAAGGCGCATGGACAATGGTAGCGAGCTTCTACTGCCGGCGATGGCAGATGAGGGAAAATAGAGAAAGAAAGAGTGAGAGGGAGTGGGGGAGAGGAAAGGTCATGGGTTTTAGTTGTTTTTAATAATAAAATAAATAAATAAAATCTATTTTAATGATATCTGACGTGGGTCGGCACTATGATGCTGACGTGGAACTCTATTAGTAACATGGTTAATGGTAACATAGTTGTTAGCCATTTCTTGATCCGCAAAAATTAGTTATGCCTAATACTTTGTATTTCGATAATTGAGACTATAATTTCCTGCTACTTAATAGTCGTGGCTAATATATTGTATTTATCCTTAATTTTTTATTACTTATTATGCGCTATCTCTCTTTTACTTAAAAAATAAAATAAAAAATTAATAATATTAAAAAAATAATAATCCTTCCTCTTTTCACTTATCCGCTCTCCTCTTCCTCATTTTCATTTTCTTTCTCTAGCTTTTCCTCTTCGTCTCTCTTCAATCCTTCTCCAAAGTTCCAAACATCATGTTTTTTCCACTTTGTCAAAAAAAGTCCTAACACAGAGTAGTACACAAACGTATATCTCTCAGATGGAAGTCGAGTTCGTCGAGCAGGGGAGGGAGACACAACGCGGCGTTCTCGAGCAGTTGAGCGCATCGCAGACGTCGTCTCGTCCCTTTTGCTGGTCGCTAGAGGCTTGGGTCAGGGGTAAGCTGGAGAACAGGAGAAGAGAAGAGGAGCGGCGGGTCGGGGCGTGAAACTGGATAAGAAAATAAACGAGGAAAGCCTTTCGCCTTCGAAAGTTCAATTAGGGATTATGCTTTGGGCATTTGGTAGTTTTTATTTTATATGGACCAATAAAACGCCTATGGTTTTTTGCAAACAGCCTACCGCCGACCAGAACAAAATCGGGTGATATTTCGTTTCATGTCGGTTGAACCGCAAAAATCGGCCGGTCCGGTAAATTGTCCACGGACAACCTACCATTTCGTTTTTTGTCTGATTTCCGGTTTTTTCAATTGAACCGACCGGCATGATCCAGTTTCCCACCATTTCCGACAAATGAGGAAGGAACCATGTCATCAGTTAAGAATAGAGGAAATCGGGAAATGTTAAAAGGATTCAAGTTCTAAAAACAGACCTATCGAGAGATGAAGGAACAAGGTTCCATGTATTGTGCAAATGTCTAGGACATAGAAGAATTTGTGGAGATATGTTCTAATTTTGTCCGTATGCTATTATATGAAATATTTTAGGCTAATTTCTTGTTGTAACATACACTATAAATGCAACTCAAAGATCTTAGCACTTAGGCTAAAAGAAGTGATGTCCCTGACTATTAGTCCGAAAAGGCAAAATTATTACTGACAATATAATCATAGCTCACGAAATGGCCAAGTGGTATGGAAGAAACAATGTGTCAGTTAGGTGCACTCTGAAGATTGATATAATGAAGCATTTGATAGAACGGATTGAGATTCCTAAGTGCAGTAATGATGGCAATGAGATTTCCAGTTCAATTCATTAGTTGGATAAGAATTTTTCTTCAAGTGATGGCTTATGAATGATGGTTTGATAGGAAACCTCTAGGCAAGGAGTGTTCACTGTCCCCTTACCTATTTTCCATGTTGATGGAGGTTCCTAGTTGTATGCTTAGTAAAGTTGATGATCACTGTTTTCCTTTTTCCTTGGTGTCATAGATTGAACTTACTCACATATGCTTTGCAGACGATTTACTCATCTTTACAAAAGTTTTAGTAGCAGGGTTTTAAGCATTAGTGAGATATAGAGCAGTTATATAGGATTTCAGGATTGAAACACAACCTAGGTAAATGTGAGGTATTCTGTGTTGGGGATGCTAGTGATGTAAAAGAAGAGTTAACAGCGAACTTGAGTTTTAAAGAAGGTTATATGAAAGTTAGATATTTGGGGATTCCTCTTATGACAGAGAAGCTCACAGCCACAGACTGTGAAGTACTAGTAGAAAAGATCACCAAAAACGATTCAAGACTGGAAACCTGGCATATGGTGGTAAGCTTGAACTTACCATTGTAGTATTAGCTAGTTTCACGTGATATTGGATGACAGTAGCACAATTGCTAAAGAAAATCATAAAAAATCAAAATTTTGTGCTCGAGGTTCCTGTGGAGTGACATTGTGACGAATAGAAGAAGTCGTTTCATGGGAGGTAGTTTCCCTCCCAAAAACGGAGGGTGGGCTATGATTCAAGGATCTCATAGCGGGAACAAAAAATGCTTGATTAGGCATCTCTTGACAGTAGTTGCAGTACGCAGCAGAAGAAAAAAATGTCTCTCTCTTCTCTCTCTCTAACGGACACTTTCTCTGAACCAAGCAACGGTTCCTTTTCCGTCCCCACATCTGGGACTCCTTCAGCTCTTGCAAAGAGCATTCTGGTGACCATTTCCTCCATCAATTCGCTTCCCCACCCACCTGTTCTGCTTAAAGATGACAGTAGTTCCACAAATCTAGGGGCATGGAAGATTCTCCTGCAGATTGAACTACTCGGAGATGAACTTAAAGGTGGTGTTAAGAAGAGGGAAGTTTGGAAACCTCCAGATGGCGGCAATAAAGACTCTCCCAGCCTAAGCAGAGGAAGAAGAAGTAAATGGAAAAAGGGAAAATCAAAAGCAAAATCTATGATCTGTGACTATGCCATCCACCTCGAGCAAAATGAAGGCAACATTGAGCCAAGAGCCTCTGTTACGATAGTGGAAAAACAGGGGAGAACTCTACTTAGTCCTCTAAAGATTAAAGAAGAGCTTGACAAGAAAGATATCTACTGCATTCAAGAGGGAAGAGAGGCGAACAGGAGAGGAAAAAGCATAAAAGGGTGGTGGAAGAGGGGAAGAAAAGGATGTGCTCACATTCTAAGTACTACTGCCTATTCTCTCTGTTTCTGGTTGTTCTCAACACCCACCTTTTGCAAAGAAAAAACCCCTTTGTCTCAAACCAAGCTGATGTGTCTAAGGATGGAATCCATCAACAACGAAGCAAACAACAACTAGGGGAGGGGAAGCTTAGTCCCGTCGGCAACCAGGGGCAAAGGGGGACGCCTTGTCCTGTCCTCGACTGGAGGGAGAGGGATGTCCATGCTGCTGGGGAAGATGTTGACAGAAAGCAAGGTTGCAGTGGCAAAAGCAGCTGGAGCGGCACGCTACGCGTGGGGCTGCTACGGTGAGGTGAACATTCAACCAACCGAAACCCCAAACCTGTTCCTGTTTACATTCAATAGCATGGAGATCAGAGACAAAATTTGGAGGGAAAGGCCCTGGAGCTTGTCGAACACTCTGACGGCGATTGAGAAGTACAATGGAAGAGGGAAGCCCGAAGATGTTCCGATCGAAAAGATGGCGATGTGGGTTCAGATCCATGGCCTGCACCAAAATCAAAGGAGTGAGGAGAATATGATGGCAATTGGATCAAGCTACTTCTTGGAGCTGTTGGATCTTGACAGAGCAAGCTTGGAATACTCCGGATACAGGAGGTTCCTTCGCATTCTAGTGGAGGTGGATATCAGGGAACCTGTCCCAATTGGCTTCGATTTCCCATTTCTTGATGAATCCTCAGGAGTAGAGCACTGCGATGAGATTGAATTCAAATATGAGAGATTGGTGGAGCTGTGCTACTTCTGTGGCAGAATTGGGCATAACTGGCCAACATGTAGAAGAATGAATGAGGAAAGGAAGAAGAATGGCGTGGCTTACCTGTCTGATGTCTACACCGCCTCTCTTAAGGCGGGGATTGACTCGCCACATCGAAGCTCCGCGTCGCAAGCTAGGAACAGGGGAGAAGGAAGAGGGGCTTATCGGAGGAACGAGGCGATTGAAAGCGAATCGGCGGCGGAGATGGGTGGTCCATCGGGGGGGATGCCGAAAATCCCTCTTGGTTTCACTATCCAACGAGAGGAAGAAGGGCTAGTAGAGAAGGAGGATCAGGAGCTCGCGGGAAGACAGAGGGGAAGATACAAGGTTGGGATGGGAGCTAGAGATATCACTATCGATTTGGAGAGGGCGGCGGAGGAGCTCGAGTGGGGGCTAAGTTTGGTTGAGGGCGGAGGAGGTTTGGCCGCTGGTAACCAGGCCAGGGAAGTAGGGTTGGGCTCCGGAGGGCGGGCTGGGAAAGTGCAGACAGCGCTCTCTCTTGGGTCGCTGATTCAGAGAGGGAATGTGAGGGCCCAAGGAAATCTTATGTTTGATGTTGCGGGCCTGTACCATCATGTGGAGGAAGAGTTGGAGGAAGAAGCGGGTCGGGCCAGAAAGATGAGGAAGGGGACTAGCAGGCTGGAGCCCACTAGATCCCTTAATTCCGATGGAGCCATTTTTATGGGAGGGCAAGAGGGGGTGAGCAGAAAGAAGAAAGGTAAAAAAGGAAAAAATGATGCTCAAAGAGGGAAGAGATCAGAAGAAGTGGCGGATAGTCAGGAAGATGAATCAAGGGCAGCGGTGGTTCGCCAGAAGCCACCTCATCCAGAATGAATATAGTAAGTTGGAACTGTAGGGGGTTTGGCCCTCCCCTTACAAGAAGTTATGCGAAGCGTCTCTGTAGGCGTTTAGGCCCTTCTATTGTTTTTCTCATGGAAACTAGCAAGAATGAGGTTTTCATGGAAGAACAAAGAAGAAGTCTCAAAATTTTCCCCAATAGAGAGTATGTTGAACCGGTTAACTCTTCTAGGGGTTTTGCTTTATGGTGGAAAGCGGGTATTAATATTACGGTTTTAAGTAGTGATAGCTACTACATGGATGTTAGTATAGATATGGGTAGGAAATTTTTCTGTACTTTCGTTCATGCACCCTCTACAGCTGTTAGTAGAAGGGATTTTTGGGAGCACCTGAGCTCTCTGCGGAGTAGTAGGGATGATAATTGGGTGGTTGTAGGGGATTTTAATGCTGCGATCTATGAAAAAGAAAAGGAAGGGAGATGCACTCTTAGGTACGAGAATGTTGAACCTTTTAAGAGGTTCATATTCCAGAATGCTCTCATTGACCTGGGGTACAAAGGGGAACCCCTCACTTGGACCAACAAGAGAACAGGCCTAAACCTTACGAGAGTGAGATTGGATCGGGTGCTCTGCTCTACGTCCTAGCGTGCCTTTTTTGGCGAAGCAGTGGTCTTCCATGAGAAAATGGTGGAGTCTGATCACTGCCCGATTAGACTGGACCTTCATTATCGGGGAAACAAAAGGAAGAAGACACCCTTTAGGATTGATGAAAGATGGCTGGAGAAAGAAGAGTGCAAGGAGATAATAGCACGAGCGTGGGACCCGGGAGGCCAATCAACTGACCAGCTGAACAAATGTGAAAGAGATCTAAAGGAGTGGGCAAAAGACTTCCATAAGAATAGTATGCAGAGAGAGCATGATATTCTTTCTAGGCTCAAAGTTCTCCAACATCCGCCAAGAACTATTGAGAATGTGGTGGAGGAGAAGCTGCTTACTATTGAACTGACTAAGCTATGGAGGGATGAAGAAGCATTCTGGAGCCAATGCTCGAGAGTTAACTGGCTCCAAAAAGGTGATCAGAATACTTCCTTGTTTCATTCAAGCACTATCTATAGGAAGCATAGAAACAAAATCCTGAAAGTCAAAGATGGAGAAGGAAATTGGATAGAAGATGAAAATAGCCTCAAAAGACTAGCACAAGAGTTCTATAAGGATCTTTTTAAGGCTAGGAACCCGATTCCTTTTAACCATCTGTTGCAAGGCTTCCCTGAAAAAGTGACTACGGAGATGAACGAGGATCTCTATGCTACAGTGAATGATGGGGAAATTAGAAAAGCTGTCTTCTCATTGGGGGCTCGCAAAGCTCCTGGTCCTGATGGATTCTCAGGAAGATTTTATAGGAGGTACTGGGACATCTTAGGAGACACCATGTGTCGAGAAGTTAGAGGATTTTTCGAAACGTCTAATATGCCAGCAGGATGGAATGAGACTCATATTGCAATGATTCCCAAGGTCGATAACCCCGAGATGATAAGCCAATTCCGTCCTATTAGCTGCTGTAACTTTAGATATAAGATCATAGCTAAGATTATGGCAACACGCCTCAAGAGATGAACTCCCGAGCTGGTATCAGAATTCCAAACAGCATTCACCGGGGGTAGGCTCATTCAAGATAATATTATCATTGTCCATGAAGCCCTTCATCATTTCAAGAACCATAAATTGGGGAGGAGGAGAGATATGATGCTGAAATTGGATATGAAGAAGGCTTATGATTTGGGGAAAAAATCCAAAACTACCACTGTTAAAAAAAAAATTACAAAAATACCACCCACTCCAAAGAATTTCCAAAAATACCACCCTTTATTTAAAACCGCCTATCTAAGGAGCGGTTAGCATTAAAACCGCGTCTCGAAGAAACGTTTTTCATAATAAACGCGCCTCTGGGAAGCGTTTTTAATTTCTAGAACAAAACGCTTGTGGAAGAGGCGGTTATATGCTAACCCTACCACAAAACGCTGTATAAAAGAGCGTTTATGTGTCGGCAATACAAACCGCGTCCCCAAGCGGCGGTTTTGAGGGTCAGGACACAAACCGCCTCTCCAAGCGGCGGTTTATAGTGTCAGGACTCAAACCGCTGCCCTAAGGGGCGGTTTGTGCATGGTCACCTAACAGCCAACATGTCGGACATGTCGGCATGCAGGGGGTAGGGCACGTAGGGCTGCATGGCAGACCTAAAACCGCTCCCCCCCAGCGGTTTTAGGGCAAAATTTGCCTATAAAAGGCAGTTTCAGAGAACTCAATTCTTCACACCTCCTCCTCTTCCTTCTTAAAATTTCAGCTTTAAATTATTTAGTTTTTGCGATTAACGTTAATTCGTAAGTTTGTTTCGTAATTACTTTTCATTGTCATTTGTGAATTTATGTTAGTAACTTAATTACTTTCCATTGTCATTTGTGATTTTATGTTAGTAACTTAATTACTTTCCATTGTCATTTGTGATTTTATGTTAGTAACTTAATTACTTTCCATTGTCATTTGTGATTTTATGTTAGTAACTTAATTACTTTTCATTGTCCTTTTTGATTTTATGTTAGTAACTTAATTACTTTCCATTGTCATTTCTGATTTTATGTTAGTAACTTAATTACTTTTCATTGTCATTTCTGATTTTATGTTAGTAACTTAATTACTTTTCATTGCAGATGGCATTCCAAAGGTTCACGCTTGGGTTGCAGTGGAATGGTTACACGGAAGAGACCGAAAAGGGTGTAAGTTACGTCGGTGGAAATTTTTATAAAATGAAGGTCCGTACGAGACCGATGCTTGAAGAGCTCCATCAAATGTGCACTCAGATTACCTGCATGGATGGCACTAGAAGAGTTGATCGAATGGTGTATCGATATCCAAACAGACATGATGGGTCGCTGTGGCATGAGGAATTCCTCCTTACCACTCAGGAGGACGTTGATGCCATGGTCCAATTTTTGACCACCAATAAAATTAAGCAAGCGGAGATTTTCGTTTACATCGAGGTCGTCGAAGGCAGTGTAGGTCATTCTAGAGATGGCCAAACATCTGGTTTCCACGGTGGGAGTGTATTATACGAAAATCATCCCCACAAGGATTTCCAAGAGTCGAGCTGGAGGCAAGAGTATCATCATGGTACTGGAGGAAGTCATCAATCCTTCTCGTCATATGAAGAAGAAGCTCAACAGGCGGATTACAACCAACAAGCAGGCTACCAGTACCCACCCGACTACAACTTCTATCAAAGCGGTGTTAGTTACCACAACTACCATTACGGAGCTAGTGAAGGTGAAGGTGCCTTTCATGCTGGTAGTCAGATGGAAGAAGAGGTCAATCCAAGTCCAGTTAGTGACCCTGAGGTTGAAGAAGAGGAAGAAGAAGTTAGTGCAGACAGCGACGATCCGTTGGAGGGTGCTGATGATTCCGGTCCAGATTCAGACGCAGATGGTGATGAGGTAGCTCACGACCGTGTACCTATTCCATACTACAATCACATTCAAAGTGAAGATTGGTATGTTGATGAAAACATGGACCCGCTAGATGTGCCAGTATGGGGTCCACTAACTGGCTTTACGAAGGGCCAACAATTTGCAACGAAGAATGAGGTCCGACACGCTATTGCCACTGAAGCAATGACTCGGAGTTTTGAATGGCAAAAAACCCATTCCGACACAAAGAGGATGCTGGTTCGATGCAGAAATGAAAATGAGGGATGCAAAGCTAGGGTTCGGGCTATCAAGAGCAAGGGAGTCGGCCATTGGGTCATATCCCGTGCGGTGAACACACACACATGTGTGTCATCAATAACATCCCAAGGCCATCGACAGTTGAAATCAAGGGTGGTTGCCGCGGCTATCAAACATCTAATTGAGGAGCAGCCCGACCTGAAGGTCAAAACCATCATCGCCCACATTTCTAGTCGTTATGGTTATATCATTAACTACAAGAAAGCATGGCATGGGAAATAGAAAGCAATGGCTGCCGTGTTTGGTGACTGGGAAGAATCATATGCATTCCTTCCCAAATTGATTTTGGCGTTGGAGGTGTCTAACCCTGGCACCATTTTCTCGCCTCGCTACCAAGATGAAGAAATTCAATCGTCGGCGCCTGGTAACAATCGCCAATTCAAGCGTCTTTTCTGGGCCTTCAAGCCATGTATTGATGGTTTTCCATACTGTGTTCCTGTGATTCAAGTTGATGGAACATTCCTTACCGGCAAGTACAAGGGTACTCTACTGATTGCCAGCGGAGCAGATGCAAATAGATTAGTATATCCATTAGCCTTTGCCATTGTGGAGGGAGAGAATACCGATAGCTATGGCTGGTTCTTCAGACAAATTCAGCTCCATGTCACTAGGCGGACACACTTGACTATCATCTCAGATCGCCACGCCGGAATACGGGCTGCTATCTTAGGCTTGGATCCAGCCTGGAACTGGTCACAGAGATGGTGCATACGGCATTTCAAGAGCAACTGGAACCATCATTTCAAGCGAAAGAAGCTTGCTGACAGTATATGGTCGATCGGTAAGCATTCTAATTAATTGTGTCTCTGTATATTTTTTCATTTGTATAAAAGTATGGAATGTTTCAATACAATACAACACTTATATAGACTCTTTATAAAGAAATGCATGTCTAAGGAAATGGGGACTTAAGCGATCATCATGATCCCCCCATGACGTCGTTCCATTCAAGCACATTCGTTGTACCCCTATAGCGGACTATATGGTATGCATCCTAGAAAAAATTTTAAATTTCATTATAAATTGAAGATTTATACATATATAAATATATTATAAGATACAATTTATATATAAATCAAGGTTGTTTTAGAGAAATATACATTATCTAATAAACATTTATTTTAACATAACTGCATAATTTTCTACAATGCAATATTAATTAAATCTAGGTTGTTTTAGTTAAATATACATTATCTAATAAACATTTATTTTAACATAACTAAAATAATTTTCTGAGATGCAATATTAATTAAATGAAGGT